GCACCCCTTGCCCTGCCCGCAGCCAGCCCCGCACCCCTTGCCCTGCCCGCAGTCAGACCCTACCTCCAGTCAGCCCCTGCCCTGCCTCCAGCCAGCAATTGTACATAATATATAATTTTGTTTTTATTTATATAGTTATGGAAAGTAAATAATACATGGAAGAAATGAAAGGGTTTTTTTTATTTTTTATTTTTTTAGTCATCCCTGCCGGGGCCCTGCTGAAAATGTTCGAATTGGGCCCTGCACTTCCTTAAGTCGGCTCTGCCTGTCATGGCTGTGTAGCTAACCATGCTGTGATTTCCATTGCTTACAACATATCATTGAAGTGCTGTTAACCAATATAACTAGGGCCCTACCAAATTCATGATTATGAAAAACGTATTACAGACAGTGAAATCTGGTCCCCCCTCTCCCCACCATGAAATCTGATCTTTTGTGTGCTTTTACCCTATACTATACAGATTTCATGGGGAGACCAGCATTTCTAACACTGGGGGTCTTGAGCCAAAAGAGTTGCAGGAGGGTCACAAGGTTTAGGGGGATCAAGTATTGTCACCCTTACTTCTGCGTTGCCTTTAGAGCTGGGCGGCTGGACAGTGGCAGCTGTTGGCTGGGTGCCCAGCTCTGAATGCAGCGCCTCACCAGTGGTAGCACAGAAGTAAGGGGGGCAATACCATACATTGCCCCCCACCCCCAATTCTGCGCTGCTGCCTTCAGAGCTGGACAGCCAGAGAATGGCGGCTGCTGACCAAGAGCCCAGCTCTGAAGGCTGCAACCACCCTCTACAATAACCTTGTGACACGACCCCCCACCCCCCAGCTCCTTTTGGGATCAGGACCCCTACAATTACAACACCATTAAATTTAAGATTTAAAATATCTGAAATAATGAAATTCACAATTTTTAAAATCTATGACCGTGAAACTGACCAAAATGGACCGTGAATTTGGTAGGGGCCTAAATATAACTGCATATTCTGCAGCATCTTACTGCAAAGTAAAATTGAGACTGGAGTGTGGAGGAAAGTGTTTCAGCCACTGGAGAACTGCTGTTGAAAACCACAGCTGCACCGATTTTTTAAATGAAGACTTTTATTTTAAATACATGTAAAATACTTTTTCACCTTCATGCTTGACTATTTAAACATATTTAAATGTTAACTTGAAGAGGCTTCTTGTTTATGCGCACATAACTGTATCCTGGACTTACTAAACTCTGATGCAGAAGGCCTAAGTTAAAATTGATACCAGGTTAGCAGAGAGCTCCTTCAAGTTGCTGTTATACTGCAATGTGCTCACTATGCTGTGGCTACTATAAATCATTCTGCTCATTCGGAGACGTACATGGTGATACCAACTTCTGAATCCCACCACGCCAACACACGTTTGTTGCCCTTTAAGCAAGACTTACTCCCCCTCCCCCCACCACTTTCCCTCATAGTCCTCTTTCACTGTCCCTTCTCGTTCCATTAGAAGGAACTACTTTTAAAATTAAATTTTTATATTTAACGAGAATTTGGAATAATGGGTCTCAGCCAGTCTGAGTACAGTACTTGCATATTGTATGATTACTGAGCTATATCATACAATGATAATGCAGATCATATGCTGAGTGCAGGAGAATGCACATATGAAAAATAAGTGTATAGTTGCAGGTCAGCTACTATACAGCATCCCTGCACTTCAGGTGACTCAGACAATCTCATTTTAATACAGTGATAGGTAGATAGAAATACTATATAGCATATTGATTTATTAATATGACATTAAGCAATCAAATATAGAAAGCTGTGTGCCCTATGCTGACTATTTTCACAGGTGACTAATGACTGGGTCAACGAAATGATTAGATGCTGTCACTTTAGACTGTGCTGAAGGTGTGGGATTTTTTTTATGGCTTTATTCCTCAAATGTACCTCTTTTAAAGTTAGTACTTTAGCTGAGGGAAGACTTTTTTTGCTCTTTTACTTTCCTTAAAATGTATAATTTTTCATAGTAGGCTTTCATCAACATCTGTACAGTTTTAATATGCTGGCTATATTTACATTTCTTTGTATTGACTACAGCTGCATTTGCAGTCTTGTTTAGTTTTGAGATTTTTCAAAGCAGCTTAGTTCAGAAATATTTTTTCTAATGAATAATATGTTGTACTGTGACAGTTATTTCTTGGAGCAGTAATATAAGACAATTCATTTGCTTATAACTATTTTTTGTATTAAAATATTTGTTGTAAATATTTCTGATTTTACAGGTAGTGGTTCAGTTCCGGATTTCTTTCGCATTATGAAGCGACAGTTTACAGAGGCAGAGTGGAGGGTAATCAAGTCCATGAATAACGAATGGATTCAGCTAGATATGTTTTATAGGCACTGGGTAATATCTTTTTCTTTTTTAAAAACACAAAGTATAATCTCTCAGAGAACACACTTTATAAAAGCAGTACTTAATGTCATGATGTAAAACTTCATTAGCTGCACACACAGATACGATTATCGTTAGATTACATCCTTGGTGCCTCAGAATATCTGTAGGTGTGCAAGATGGTCTGTGCTGCAGCTGGAATTCTTAGGAAGAACTGTGGCTGGCCTTATGCATACATGAAAGTACGGTGGAGAGGTTCCTGGTTCATCCAGCAGAGGACACAATCTAGCCCTTGATTATTTCAGAATTGTAGGTAATTTTGTATTTATATATGCATTACAGCACCATGGATTTGTATTGTTCCTACAGATGAGTAAACCGCCTGTGGATGGATTCTGCTCTTAATAATTATACCAATGTAAAACTGAAGTAATCTCAGACTTACTTGTCTAAGAATAGAATTTATTTGACCCACAGTTTCTGCTCAGAGATGACCTTTCAGTCTAGATTGAGTGATATGCTACATGTAATTGTTGTGTTGTAGGTAACAATTTTAGTCATTAAAAGCAACAAATGTGGATTAAACATATGTCATTCTGTATTTTAGGCACTAAAGGAAAGCTTTATAAAGGCCATTGGGATTGGAATAGGCTTTAACCTGCAAAGGATTGAATTTAATGCCTCCCCATTGCAGCTGGAAGTAGGGAAGGTTTACAAGGAGACAAAAATGTTGTTGGATGGAGACAAGGAAGAAGGGTGGACTTTTGAGGTAAGAAATCTACCAACAATTTCTGTAATATAATTCGATCACATCCTAGTGAGCAGGCTCCCTTGCAACTACCCATTGTAACTGCTTAGAGAAATCCATGCCTCTGCTGCTCTGGATCCCTGTGGTGTTTTCATGCTCCTAGAACCTCAGCAGACTGCAGCACTGATTCCTTTCTTGGCCTCTGGCATATTTTCTTGGCACTGACTGTCTACTACCACTTCTTGGAAATGGGGCTCCTCAGCCCTCCTATCCCAGGCTTCAGGATGAGCAGGCTTACTCCAAACTACCCCAGTTACTTAAAGATACCCCTCTCCCAGATTTCCATCCCAAAGGTGTGACACTTCTGGTTCACAATTTAACTCTGTCTAGGGAATGCAACAGTTGTGAAGTAGTTAATGTACAGAGACACACTTTGTTCAGAGTTTAACACCTTTATGCTCTTTTATACTTATTTAGAGCTCATGTGAGTACAGATCATACAAAATGATAAACATCTGAAATAGCAATATCCCTCATTTTCTATCTCACCCTTCCTTTGTCAGTCCTTGGGCAACATCTGGGTTTAGGAAGGCAGGCAGGGGGTGTCGTCTGCTCAAGCAAGCTGTTGTGTGCTAGCTGGTCTCTCTCCTTCGTGAAGTCCCTTCCCAGCTTCAGTGACCTTGCTTTTTCCTTCTTTCTGACCCCTGCTCCTGTACATTTCTTTATCTGAAACCCTTTCTGGCCACCTGGCCTCCTTTGTTCTACTCCTGGTAAGTTTCCCCTGCTCCTGTCTTCTGCTCTCCTTTCAAAGGAATCAACTAAACTGATTTTTCTAAGGATGCAGCACATCCACTGTTCCAGATGCTTTCACCTGAACAGGGGTACTTGCATTATGGCTGCATTGCAGCTGAGACATGCATCCCAAACAGGCAGATAGCCTCCGAGTTAGCGTGCTAAAAATAGCAATGTGGATATTATAACAAGGGCAGCAGCTCGAGCTAGCTGCCTAAGTCCAAACCTACCTGACCCTCTGGGTCTGAGCTTGGGTGTCCTAGCCCGAGTCACCACCCATGCGGCTATGTCCACACGGATATCTCTAGCCCACTAGCTAGAGCAGAGCTAGTGCAAGTCTGTCTACCCAGGATTGGAGGCATATTCCCAGCTAGAGCCCTGTGCAGGACTAGTGTAGAGCCCTGCAATTGGACTGGGGTCCCGCAGGACCCGCTGCCATAATAGCAGGAGAGAGATTAAATAATAGTCCCGTGCAGGGCAGATATACCCTAAGGACCAAGATCCTTCTATAGTATCTGGTTCATACACATTACAGGACTTGTCAGCCGTGCTGGATCCACATGTATGTAGGGACTCGTGACACAGTAGATTTTCATAATACAACTTCAGAATATCAAATCGGAAGTCTTAAATTGTACAGATATAGCCTCAATTCATCACAATAGTTATAACCAATCTCAGACTGTACATTATGGTTGTGTTAGAGTTCAGTTTGAACTGGAGTTTTAAACCTGATTGAAAACATAAAGATCAAAACATTAGAATATAAACATGGAGCACTAATAGAATCTTTCATGGTGGTTGGAGGAAAAATGAATAGATACAGAGAGAAAAAGAAACAACAACTGTTTTTGGTGATCCGCTCCCCTCCCTCTCCTGGAGCAAGAGAGACAGACTTCTTCATCAAATACCCTGTTAGTCTCGTGAAAAACTCCCTATGCTGAGGGGGAGACCAGGAGTTCATATCTCACTTCTTATAACACCTGAACGGTTTCCATTTTGAAGACATTACCTGCAGCTTTGTAAATCACGTGTGCGGGTGGAGTTTGCTGTAAACAGC